CCCCCCCCCCCCCCCCCCTGCCCCCGCCGAGGGTCCCTGGCCATACTCCTGCCATTGGCTCCGAGTCCGCCTGCAGCACGATCCAGCGTTCCTCCCTTCAGGCCATCACCAGGTCTGGGAGTAGTAGGTCCTGGGTCTGACGCACTCCAACGCCCGGCCTGGCCAGAGAAAGCATCCGACAGCAGCAGGACTTTAGGGGATTTTATTATTTTATTTTGCTTCAAGCTCCTTGTTTTGTGATCCCAGTTTGCTCAGGTTTTATGACAGTTGTTTCCTTTTCCCCGTTATCCCAGTTACTGTAAACCAGCCTTCATACACTGACCTTTTGTTCTGGAACATCTTTCTGTCTCTGTCTTCTTTCCTTGCACCACACTGGAAGGAGGGTGGGACCAACATCTCCAGCTGCTTCCACAGCGATAGACCCTGATACCAGGTACAAGATCCTGCGTCCCCTGAAGGGGGAACATATAGGTTTATAATGGTTTTAATTTTTCCCTGTAACACCTCAGCATGGTCTGGCCTGACCCAGAGGATTCAAAAAAGCTGCAGCCCATGAGCCCGGCTGGCAGGACGCAGCTACGTGCCCCTCCCTTGATGGCCACCTCAGTGGATGATTTGGTCAAGACCATGCTCCGGCACTACTCAATGATGTTGGCCAGGTTGGTGTTGAAATCAGGGTTGGGTCCCCCTGCTGCAATGGACAGAGATGGAGCGTCACAAGGGGGACGCAGCTGGGACCCCACTCAAGGGCAGTCCTGACTCCCAGCCCCCACTGCTTTAATCCACCACAATCCACTCCCCTCCCAGAGCCAGGGATAGAATCAAGGTATCCTGACTTTGAGCCCCCCTGCTATAACCCACTATCCCCCTTGCAGAGCTGGCGATGGGACCCAGGAGTCCTGAGGCCCCTGGTGACCCTCCCTGCTCCAAACCACCTGTTCCAGGGCCCTTCCTCTCTTCAGCCACTATTAGCTGTTATCTCAGGCCGCCTGAACCACGGAGACTGGGCTGCTCCCCTCTTATGCGAAACAGCTGTGAGAGATGGGCAGAGACTCAGCCCCCTTAGGGGAGATGCTGTGAGACACAGGAAAGATCCAGTGGAGAAAGGATGAGAAGGAGAAACGTTACCCCACAGACCTGCATCCTCTACTCCAGCAGCCATGGAGGGTGCTGGCCTTGGGTTAACAGAGGTTAGGAGGTGCTGGGGTTAGGGGCAACAGGGTCAATGCTAGTGGTCAAGGCTGGGCTGGCAGGGCTCTGTAGCCACAACCTCTGCCTGGGCCCCGTCAGG